TAATTACTCCTTTCAGCGGTCTATTTTCTGTCTTAGCGAGGAGAAAATATTTCTTCACCAGCTGCTTTTCCTTTGTAAATGCCTAATTGGTTGGTTATCAGCCTAAATGGCAAACAATGGTGTTTCAGAGTAAATTCTGAATATATTCAAGTATTAGTTAGTTAGGATTTGATTGATTGGTCACAGGATTTCATCAGGGTGAACAGATCGGGTGTGAGGACAAATACTCGCCGAAGACATTGGCTAGCGGTCGTGAGTTGGCATAAGTTGGAATTCATGATCTGGCCATTGGATCGGGTCCCAGTGGCCTAATGGTCTGCGAGCTCGCCTTGTAACCAGGTCCTGGGTTCGAACGTTAACAGTGCGTGCGTACTGATGAAGAGTCCTAAACTAGGACGTAGGAAACAGCTGTCCAGTTCTCCCAGGTTTCCCAATGGTTCCCTAACCGATGTCAGCTCATGATTATATCCTGTAACCAATAAATTCTGAATACTAGATTTTCAGTCTAGATGTTCAACCTTCATATTTGAATTCATCAGAAAACAGTCAAATCTAGAACTTTTATTTACTTCCCGCTTTTTATTTATGAGTAATTAAATTCCCAACATAAGATAATGTGAAAAGCGTACACGTTACTTACAATTTTCGTTATCCCACTAAATCATTCGCTGGTTTTAACCAATGCATCATCCAGATAGATATATGGACAGTATTCACTCTGACCTATAGTGAGTATGTGAATTATATTGCCTTAAAACAAAAATGAGATTACTTCGACTGGTTTATTTTTTTTATTATTTATATTGTTATATTTCACCGATTAGATTGCTTTGATGGGAGGTAATGTTTTCATGTAACAGGATTTTTATTAATAAATGTCTTTCGTTGTTTACTGGAATATATACGCTTATATGCAACCATCACGCTTTTAAATTTGTGACCACTTTGAAGTGTATGAAGGATATTTTGCTTGTCTAAATATATTGAGTGTATCAACAATTATTCTTTCTCTGTTTCATACTTTTCATTTAATTTTCTAGTTATTTTAGATAGTCAGTCGTGAAGTTTCAGTCTGGTGTATGTCTTGTTTCGATCTCGTTGAAGTGCCTTATCATGCTTAACTCTAACCTTCAAACTGTAATCTCCTCATATGTAGAGAAGACTTCATCACAACACTTTTGTGAAAACAAACATTATTTTGAATAGCATAATATTTCAGCTTTTAGATTTGTTAATTTTTGGTTACTTACCTATAGATAACTACTTCTCAAATTTGGATTTTAATGGTTACAGAAGACAACAAAGGATAAACCATGTCTTGTTTCCTAATGTATTGAGTAGATACAATAGATTGGTTATTATTTCGACAATCGTGGCTAGTTCTTTTAGTTTCTGTTAAGAGGCTTGATGTCCATGACTCCATAAACACCTTTTGATCACTGGAAGGGAATTTGATGTGATAGTCATTTAAATGTAGCACAAAGATTTCTTAATGATGGAAATGTTTAAACCGAACCAATCAATATTCATTTGGTAAATTCTGATTGTTATATTGTTAAAATTACTTTGGCTATTTCTATTCTGATTATAATGGGACACTGAAGTCGTCCCATTTGTTGAATTCTTCGAACGGCATTGGGAATTTGTGTGTGTCGTACAAGAAACTTGTGACTAAAGTTTCTGTAGTACTACATGGTTACTTCATAAAATTAGTCGTTCAGCCTAATCTTAAATTTAACAATAAAAATCATGTGACAAAGAAGCGAAACCCTATCAACGGCTAACTCAGGCCGTATGATGTGAGTGAAATAGATCCATTCTTCACACCTTTGAAATAAAATTCGCAACACTTTTTGTGGTAATCAAATACTTGAGATTGTTTTTAAAATCACACGACAATGCGATATAAGTACTTTCAGCAACCGTGTGAGACCAGGTACTGAATACTCTCAATGGATTAACACAATTATAATTCTGACTCCCAAATCATCATATTTCAACAGATAAATATATATTTTGATGTGGTTTTGTTCTCTGAGCTGGATGGTTAGTTTGCGAAGCTTTCATCACCTTACTGGGTGACATCTTCAGCGCATACTTCAATTTGAAGTGAGCTTTTAGATTTCTCCACGAGTTTATTAATCATCTCTCCTGGTGACCTTGGACGTGATTGGTTGTTTGTGTGTGTTTTCACACCTTCTAGGTTACTTGTATTGGAACCGGTTGTTTCTTTGACTTGAATTTTGACCCTTTGTCTGTGAAGTTTCTTTCTTATTGGTTGATAAATTTTGTCTATGTCGATGTGTCTATTGATTGATGATCCACTGGAATGCCAAGCTTCTAAAAATTCTCTAGCATTCTTGTTATTTCCTTTGTCTAATATTTGAACGTTGTCCCAGTCGAATTGATGTCCGTAGTTGTCTGTGTGTAGTGAAATGAGGGAGTGGATATCATGTCTTTTGACGGCTAGCTTATGTTCGTGGATACGAAGACGAAGGGGACGTCCACTTTGGCCGATGTAGTGTTTTTCGCAGTTGTTACAGTTTATTTTGTAGATGATGTTGGTTTTATCTTCTTTCGCTGTTGAGTCTTTTGGTTGACATAGAATTGAGTGAAGCGACTTTGTTGGTTTGTGTACGACGTCAACTCCTAAAGGTTTGAAGAGTCTTGTAGTGATTTCTGAGATATCTTTTATATATGGTAAGGCAATTTTCTTTGTGTTCTCCTTGGTGGCTTTTGCTTTGGTAGGTTGGCTTGGGGGTATATGTCTCTTGATGAAATTCCGTGGATATCCATTCTTTTGGAAGACGTCCATGAGATACTTTTCTTCAATTTTTCTTAAGGTGGGAGTGCTGCAGTGAGTCCTTGCCCTCTTGAATAGTGTTTGTATGCAATTCCTTTTGTGTGTTATTGGGTTGTTGCTGTTGTAATTCAGTATTTGGTCTGTGTGAGTTGATTTCCTATAAACTTGAGTTTCTAATTCTCCTGTAGTTGTTCGCCTGACTAAGACGTCCAAAAATGGTATTTTGTTCTCGGATTCCTCTTCTCTTGTGAATTTGATGTCGTTGAAGACGTTGTTTATTAAGTTGTGAGTTTTATCTAATTCGTTTCTTTTGATGATTACAAATGTGTCGTCGACGTAGCGTATCCAAATCTTGGGTTTGATCTTTGGTAGAATTATATTTTCGAGTCTTTGCATCACTGCTTCTGCAATCAAACCTGATATTGGCGATCCCATGGGTGTTCCTTTGACTTGTTCATATATTTGGCCGTTGAATTGGAAGTATGTTGTTAGGCATAGATTTATGCATTCCATCCAGCTTGTGTGTTGCATTTTTGATTGTTGTGGCAGTTGTTCGTCGTTGCTAAGTAGTTGCTCCATGGTTTCTTTTGCTAGGTTTTGTCCGATGGATGTATATAATGCTGTCACGTCGAATGATACCATTATTTCTTGTTCATCTATTTGGATGCCTCTGATTTTCTCTAGGAATTGGATAGCAGAGTTGATGGAGTGATCGCAAGATTCCGTTAGGTGTTTTAGTTTTCTGTATAATTCTTTGGATAAATTATATGTTGGAGTTCCTGGGAGTGATACAATTGGTCGTTTGGTCTCATTTCACTACACACAGACAACTACGGACATCAATTCGACTGGGACAACATTCAAATATTAGACAAAGGAAATAACAAGAATGCTAGAGAATTTTTAGAAGCTTGGCATTCCAGTGGATCATCAATCAATAGACACATCGACATAGACAAAATTTATCAACCAATAAGAAAGAAACTTCACAGACAAAGGGTCAAAATTCAAGTCAAAGAAACAACCGGTTCCAATACAAGTAACCTAGAAGGTGTGAAAACACACACAAACAACCAATCACGTCCAAGGTCACCAGGAGAGATGATTAATAAACTCGTGGAGAAATCTAAAAGCTCACTTCAAATTGAAGTATGCGCTGAAGATGTCACCCAGTAAGGTGATGAAAGCTTCGCAAACTAACCATCCAGCTCAGAGAACAAAACCACATCAAAATCATCCACCTGAGCTACAAATCTTCTCTATAATATCTAGATAAATATATAAAAAAAAACATCAGTTCATTCCTAAATACTCCATATTACGTTAGTTTATTTCAAATACCATACAGTGATGCAGTATCAGCAACTGGATGACAGCATAGAAGAGGTGATAATTATTCATCTTTTAGGCTGTATTCTTCACTCGTTTTTGTCATACTTAGTTTGAAATTTTGTCCAATTTGTTAATACTTCATCCTTTATTCGTCCAATTTTCACTTTTATCTAGTCACTTTCTTCTTACATTTTGTGTAACATTGTGATGGGCGCCTGGTTGTTTCGAACAAAATAAATAATTAAATGGGGTATCAGTCACGATTATACTATAGTTTGTTATCTTACGTTTGGGTGACCTTCTGTCATTATCACTAGTACCACTTAATATATAACAATTTCGAGTAAAATTCAAGTCATCCATTGATAAAATAGGTACTAGGGTATATTTCATGAATAATAGGTGAACCGTTTTACTTCCTACGTGTACATAATTGAATTATTCTGTTATTAGACTGATTGGTGGTTATTTTCTCATAGCGGTATGAGGCGCTAAATAGTCTTTTGTCCAAGCATAGTCAATACGGTTCCTGCTTATCATATGGTACAGGATTGTTTCATTAAGCTTATTGTTCCAATTGTAGAGCAGTTTGATGTCAAACTTTTGTGTGCTGTTGGCATTCATCACTTTCACAAAGTATACCTGCATTTGTCTGTTAACCTTGCAATTTTACATGATTATTATATCGAAATTAAAATAGTCGGTAGAATTGCAAAATGATACCGCCAAGTAATTGGCGGAAAATTTCTTCAGGAAGTTCAATTTTGAATATGTTAAACGCATAATATTTATATATTCTTGATAATCATTTTGACAAGAAACCTACTTCATATAATTCGATTTGTTTCTTTTTTCACATGGTCAGCAATTCACAGGAACGAAACCCTCGTAAGAGGAAACTGGACGAGTCAGATGTAGTCATCCTCTCAAGTTCTAGTGATCCACTAGACAAGAGTCTCAATAAACCAATGTCAACTAAAGTCTCAGTGGAGAAAATGCCAATACTAACCGTTTTATCATGGAATATTCAGGGCTTGGAGAAATCATGTTTGAACAAACGAATGGAAGCGATCGCTACTACTATACAAAAGTATTTTAATTTTTGCGATTTTACGCTTTAAATCGAAATGCATGAAGCGTATATACACACTCTTCAGAATTTAATTAAGCATACAGAAAGATAAATATTTGAAGCAAAAACTAAGCTACACTGACATTTGTATGTGATGAAAATGTTGAACCGAATAAACACTTTGATTGGTAAATAGATGTAAAAAATCGTAGTAACGCATTACACTGAAATTGTTCGAATAAGTGTGACTTTACGCTGGTCTTCGTGTTTGCTGCCAAAAGTTATTTTTAGCTCCAAAACTTAGTTGTATGTTTATTTATTGTTAATGTATTTGTCTGGTGTATACTCTAGTAATTTCATTCTTACATATCGATAGATAGATGTGTTGGAGCAAAAAAGTTATTTTAAGCACCTGAAAATCATCGCTTGACTGACTGTGAAATGTGTAAGTGACCTAATGAAACAACAGCACTATGACCTTCATGGTCGGCAACTAGAATGTACGAATTTAGAGTGTAGATAGCTAGCTCCCTGTTGAAATTGTCTTTGAGTCACATTTTAAAATCTCCAATGCCATAATTTGATTAAGTCATTTACTCCATACACAACCTGAATCAACAAGTAAAGTTTTCAAATGGAAAGAATATTTCTGTTTATTTACGTAGGGTCACTGGGAGGGAATAACATGTTTCTCTTTAATATTTCCTCATGAATTCCTCAATAAATTGCACTTCACTAGGCACAAGACGATTATGCTTATTCAGATGACTGGTTATAGACTAACAGTTATATCCATCTGTCTAAAGTGATTAATGTGTGTGTGTGTATGTGATTAAACCCTTTTAAACTGGAATAACTTAACTATAAAAAAAATGCAAATATTTGTTTAATAAATAATTGCTATAAAATAAAAGTATAATTGTTTACTCATAAGATATGCGTATATGAGCATAGTTTTTTTCTCCACACAATTAATTGTTTTGCACCAAATACTAAGTATACATTCCTATAATAGAAAAGATTTGTAACTCAGGTGGATGGTTTGCAATTAATAGTGTTCTCTGAGCTCCTTGGTTTAATTGCGGAGCTTTCATCGTCTTTCTGGACGACATCTTCAGCGCAGTGCGCTCAGTATACATTCCTATGTTTACTGTAAGTGTAGACGGTAGAACACATAAATTGAATGAGCCTGATGAGAAGTCTGTCGTGTGTTTATTATTTTCTTCTTCTCATGTTTTTAGTTTGCAATCAATTTAACAAACATTAAACAAATAACTTGTATTTATCAATAGTTAGATAGTTAGTTACATGCCATTTTATGCCTTCCTTTTGCAAAGATTCTCCATTTACTTCATTTTCTCATGTTGTTAACATTTTTAGTTAAACTAAGTATTGCTACTTTTATTTAGCTATATCCTACTACTTGAGTGTTCTTACAAGTTAGAAACTGTCACACAAGATATGTTATTTTGCAGCACAACTAAGCACCAAGAAAGTAAATACTATATATATTCAACTCTTAATCATAAATGTGAACTACTTGTTTTTCGTATGTACACAGAAGTAAGCAACAGTGTGGTGTTTGCTCCAATTCTGTGGTTGCTGATCATTTGCAAACAAGTCGACTGATGGAAAAGAAAGACAAGTGGATGAAAAGAAAAATTGAAATATGGTATTGACAGCATAAGTAAAGTACCAAAGGTGGAAAGGTGAAGTCGATAATTCAAAGATTTGAAATAATACCATACGTCACCTTAGAACCCAAGAATACGCGCCTTGTTGATGGTTGTTGTAGTTTGTAGAATTCTGTCAATACGAAAGTTAATACCAACGACTACAAACCGTAGTAGAGTAGGCTGATATGTGCAATTTTTGAGCCAAACATTTTGTAATCCCTCCCATGCATGGTTGGAAATCAAGGTCTGTAATTGTTAAGTCATCAAGTCCAACTGGTCTCTGTATTCTCCGTCATTGTTGATGGCTAAAGGCTCCAGATAAACCTCGAATTTCGTATTATCTTGATGCGTGAAAAGTGAGATCAAACTATGAATTAGTACTACTGGTGTCCCCCAAGGTGCTGTAATCTCCTCACTTTTCATTCTTTCTACATAACTTACTATCTTCAAATGACATTAACTTTGTTAAATATGCTGACGAACTGACTGTATCTTTGCCTGTCGAATGTCAAAGCGACTGCTCCAAACTAAATGCCTTTTTTATCAGAAATCATCCAGTGGTCCAAAGAAAACGGTCTCACCTTAAATCCCTCTAAATGCCAAACAGTCAATTTCACCTTTAGGCACAAATCTGACCTAAACAAACTGGTTAGCACTCACGAGGTGTGCAACATAGATGGCACTGAAATTGAAACCAAGTCGGAAATTAAATACCTAGGCGTCACTCTATTTGCTGATCTTTCCTGGTCGTCTCATATCTTGATGATTTCTAAGAAAATATTCCGTCTTACCTTCTACATCAAGAAGTTAAGACATTCTGGAATAACCCAACCCAACCCTTACTCCTACAATTCGTTAACTCTCGCATTCTGCCTATTATTCCCTATTGTTCCCCTTAGTTTTTCCCTGGGCTACTGAAAAAAGACTATACCTTATTATGTTAAAGGTTGTCAGCAGGGTGAGCAACGTGCCACTTAACCAGCTTGTTAATATTCTGGTGGACAGGCACACGGACTCATGTGAAAAATGGGCTAAGTCCATTTTATCTGACTCACACCACCATCTTCATTCACAACTCTCCCCTTGTATCTCATCAGGCGAAACCAGAAGCCTATGTAGGAAACTATATGCTCGCACTAGTAGGTACAAAAACTCAACCATACCCTACTTAGCTCGTGTTCTGTGCGTCTTGTGCGTCGGTGGCACAGTGGTTAGGACTCTCGCCGACCATGCACATGATCCGGGGTTCGAGCCCTTGCCGACGCACACCTGATATCTATGGTCGGCCTGCAAAATTTGGGCTACCGATATCCACGCTGAAAATTCCATACTTGTACCAAAAATACAGTGTGGAATCAAGCTGTAATCAAAAAGATAAATAAAGAAAGAAAGAAAGCATTAGGCGTGAAACCTGTAACTTATTAAATCATCAGTAGAACAACTGGATCTCGTCTTTCCAACTCATATCATTTATAGGTACAACGTTTTCTCTCTCTCTTTTCCTTTTTCTCTGTTCTGTGTTACTTTTTGTTTCCTTTTTCTTCACAAACTCTATTTAAAACATTCTTCTTCTTCCTTTCACACTCTGTATATCTCGACCTTTTTGTTACCGCTTACGCCAGTAAATATGCTAGTATCTACTTTTGTAATACCTTCAAACACTGTTCAATTTTTGACTTTGCCACCAACATGCCAATACGTTGTTATCATAACTAACTGAGATTACCCTTAATCTATGTAGAACTTTATCTATTGTTAATGTACTAACTGGATGCAATATTGTAGTAAAATGCTGAGAATTCCATTGTGTATCACTAGCAGTGTTTTGTAATAAAGCAAATTATTACTCAGAGTTAAATGGCTTCGGTTGTCTGCTACTTCCTATGTAGCTGCTATGAATCAATAATGTGTAATCCTATTTGATTCTAACTTTACTCCTTGATAAAATAACTAACTTGAAGTATACTTGTCTTTTTTTTGTGATTTAGTAAAGTATATTCATCATCATACATTGACTTTTTTTCTAGAGAGGAATTCCACGTGGTCTGTTTACAGGAAGTCGTTCCCGCGTGCTTGAATATTCTTCAAAGTAAGCTGGAACCAACATATCACATTTTCTCTGCTTCTGACCATAATTGTTTTTGGGATTATTTTGTTGCTATCCTAATAAGAAAACATCCAGGCATCAAAGTTGATCCAAACACCATTAGTGTAAGTTATCGTTTTCTGTTTATTTTTTTTCATATTTCAGTCGTAACTATTCAAAGTAGTTCTTAGACTAAGCTTATGATGTCTTACAATATGATCATATCTCTTTTAAATATAACTTGCCTACAGCCACACTGAACCACCCCGTCATCCAGCACACACCCGAATGGGATATCGATACTGGTCTATCGTCTGTAAGTGAGGTCACGAAAGCTATCTGTAATTTGAAACGAGGCAAAGCGGCAGGACTCGACGGAATTATTCTGGAGGTGTTTAAATATGGGGGTGACATACTAGTTTGTAGATTAACTGAGGTACTAGGCAAAGTCTTGGAATCAGAGACTGTTCTATCAGACTGGGGTAAGTCACTTGTGATACCGGTATTCAAGAAGGGAAACAAGTTCTCGTGTGATAATCATAGGGGGATCAGCCTAACGAACATAGTTTCTAAAATCCTAGGCTCAGTAATCATGCATAGACTAAGCAGAACTTGGGAGGAACAAACGAGGGAAAATCAAGCAGGCTTTAGACCAGGTAGAGGGTGCATAGATCATATCTTCACTCTCCGACAGATTCTAGAACATAGACACACTTTTCGGCGTCCAACAATTGCCATATTTCTTGACTTGAAGGCGGCCTTCGACTCCGTGGATCGAAAGGTACTATGGCAATGTTTGACAGTGAAGGGAGTGCCAAGAAAGTACATTGCACTAATCAAGGCACTCTATTCAAACTCACGTAGTCGTATAAGGGCTTATGGGGAATTGTCATCTGAATTGATAACAACCAGTGGTGTCCGACAGGGATGTCCACTTTCCCCATTTCTGTTTAACTTCATCATAGATGTACTAATGGAAGTATCCTCAACTGAACGTAACGACTTAGGAATCGATTCGTTACCAAGTAATAATCTTATGGACTTAGAATATGCAGATGACATAGTCTTTTTAGGGGAGGATGATGAGTCTTCTGAACACCTTGAGCAGCAATCTTCGTATGTTTGGCATGCGATTCGCCCTGCAAAATGTAAGATGCTGCTACAGGACTGGACTGGACTACGTCAACTCCTAGCTTAGTGATAGGGAATGAAGTGATAGAACATGTTGACAACTTCACTACGGAGGCTACATTATTTTGACTGTACATTACAATTCATTCACTAGTTACACGAAGGAGTGACAGGAATGGAGACATCTTTTTAAGCGTGAAAGTCCTACCATGAAGTGTATTCTTCACTAATATATGTCGCATAAAAATCGCTGGTTCTAGGAAATTTTCAAACTTTCTGTTGAAGTATAAACAGTATTTTTTCAGTTGCATTGAAACCACTTCTTAATATATCTGATATCAGGAAGGTATTTCACCTATAATTTGATAATTCATACCTTTCCAACGAATTTACTGTACATTCGTATATATATAAAGGTATTTTACCACCATTTATTTCTAAAGAGTATCTCAGTCCATATTCAAATAACCTTACATAGATTATAAAAGCCATGACTAAGTTCCACTAGGCAGTTCATCTGTATGTCATTCGAATTCATTACTCAGTCACACATTTTAAAAGTGACTGAAATGTTTGTCTTGATTTGGTATTCCTTTGATTACAATTCAATAGATTATGTTTGTGTTACAGTTAATTGTAGTTCCAACTGTTCTGTCAACCGTATTCGATACTTTCACTGTAAATATCCCTAAATAAAATCTCTGGTCTCTTTATTTTAATCGACATTTAACTATTTATAATCGTATTGAATCTGTTTTTATAGTAATACCTACACTTTGTGTTTTTCTGTACTCCGAAAGATCCAAGAATTTCCAAACACTGTAATGGATCGTCATCTGTTCTCTATTGATTTGCATTTGTCTAATTTTTCGGATCAATTCAATTCAGAATTATATCTGCGAATATTTACTAGTCACTTAGAAAGTTGTGCTGAATACTCAACCGAAAGAGTAGATCAGCTGAAGCTCGTTTGGGATGCAATGTCTAGTTATGTAAAAAGTGATGAAACTGAATCCAACTCTAAAGTTACTCGTGCTTCTGTCTTTTGTGGCGATCTTAATTTACGAGATGCAGAGGTAAATTTTTTTACTTTGCCTTTTACACCTTATCAATACCATTGTACTGCTCTACGTAATATCTTTTAGTTTTGTACCATGAAAATCTAATGATAACTCCAAAAGGAAATATGTAGGAATATCTAGGAAATAAGCATTTTTTCAGAAGAACAAATATATGTTAACTTTACTTATTACTTCACTTTTCTTACCAATAAAATGTAAGCTACAAAAGTAATTCTTATTTTTACGACCCGTTTTTATTTTCTGTATATGTGTGTGTGTCTGTATGGTATCATTTACCTACTTTCGACGTCCTCTTGAGTGTAAAATAAAAATTGGACGAGTTCCTGTTCAGTGAACATACCAATTTTATTCACTCAAGGAATAGTTGATAATTAAAACTCTACTCTGCCTGTCATCATTCCATTGGATTCTGAAGATCATGTATTTTAGAAATGTTTTCCCTTCATTTTTCTAAAAAAGTATTAATAATAATGACGTTACATTCCAGTGCTGATTTGATTTAACGATGTTACCCCACCCCCCTCAGCATCACCTTGCATATTTCATTGTTTTTAGCAGTAACGAAGTGCTTAGTTGAGAAGTTCGAATATATATATATATATATATATATATAATATCGAAACCTGATTACATTGATTACTTGATTTCAGTGCTGATATATTATTCCAGTATATTATAAATATGTAATCAACTATTAACATGATACTATATAGGAATGAAAGCATTCTGCATAAACATACTCACATGTCTAATTTTGTTTTTATTTTATTTATTTATTTATTTTTTGTTAATCAAAGGTGATTTCACCTACACTTTTGTGACTCTCAAATTGAAAAGAAAGTGGTACTTGATTGTGTGGTTCATTTTCGAACTACTAATATTAGCTTACAAAAGTACATGTTGCATTCCAGCGTAAAATAGACCAAAGTTTGGTTTTTGTCAAATGACTCCACACTAGTGTTAGTATAGGAATATTTATTTATACAAGTGAATGATTAAATAGTACAACGAAATTTAAATAATATTTCAGTATTAACTTGGCAAATAAAAACTTTCCCTAAATTTGGCTTTATTTCACATCTATTAGGTCACAATGCTTGGCGGATTACCGGAAGGTATTGTCGATGTATGGGAGAAATGTGGACGACTCCCTGAGCTTCGGACCACCTGGGATCCGATGCGCAACTCCAATGCCAGAAGTCAATTTAAAGGTATCCCTCGCCCTCATTTAACTTTCAGATATGATCGTATGTATGTAATGGGTTCAATACTGGAACCAGTTGACTTTGGTTTTCGTGGAATTGAGAAAGTAAAGCGTTCGGCGTACTTCGCTTCTGACCACTGGGGTATTCTCAGTCGCTTTCTGCTATCTACTGGATAAAGAAAAATCTATTGTCTATTTTTCCTGGATATCTTCATATGCATTTCCTGGGTGGACAAGTTTCCACATTTGCATTTTTCTTCAATATAAGATTGCCTAATGCTTTATTTTTTAACTGATATCAATCAATTTTCTCAAATCAACTTACATAAAATAATTTTTTCCAGTTTTACTTCAGTTTCCTACAAGCATTCTTCTCGTGTTAATTAGACCAATGAACTAAATAACTATGAAGTCTTTGCATAGTATGTAAATGTGCATAAAATACGAACTAGAAAATAAGATCGTCAACTTAATGCCTTATTGAATTCGTAGGGTATCAAATCATTTAGGTTCCAGTAGTTTAAGCTTTGTGATTCAGTGGCTTCACAATTCCCCTGGATTTAAGTAATTTAGCATTTTTTAAACACCTGCAAAAGTTTTGTTGTCAAAAATAAAAATGATGTCGATTTGATGTGTATCGTTACAGTCATGTAGATATGATATACTAAGAATCAAATTGTCTGAGTTACATATGACTTACTGAGGTAATGGTAATGAAAAGTAAACTAACTGAGTCGAAGTTAAGGTGCTGTTCAAAATGTCATTCAGTCGAAAACATATATTTCTTAAGACTGTAGTTTACATAAAGTATTTTGTGCCTGTACTAAAAAGCTCGATTATTATCCCAAATTCTAATAATATTTATTTTGTCGAAAGAGTTTTCTCAGCAGCTCAGATGCTTGGATATAAAGTCTTTCTATTAATTTTATACAAGTTGCCTTTGCTTTTATTTTGTAATACTGGGAATCGTATTGAAAATGACGTTCAGTAGTGGCTGCATAGTTGTTTAACAGTTTAGTCTTAAATGAGACATACAGCAGTAATAAAATGATATTCCAAACGAGCTCAGTAATTTAACTCTATAGCTACTATGACTATTATATGTAGCAAATTGCTTTCGTCTCTAATTTGTCTGCTAAACGCCAAATATTTAAGTTATGAATGCTTGTTGGTGTGTGTGTGTGTGTGTATCTACCCTGCGGATAATTTGTTTAGGAGACTCGCAACGAATATAGTTATCATGTTGCCTACCCTGCGTCGTAATGATCTGCAAACTAAGGTATTTTGGTGGTTCTCTAATAATAAATATCCTCATATTTATAAATCAAACCGTTAATTACGTTCAGATTATAAGATCTGCGGGGATTTTAGATTAATTTCAATTGTTAGTGGGTTCGCACTCCTGAAAAGTTCCAAAAAGTGGGATATAAAACGGGTATCTGTTACCATATGGTTTTCTATGTTCTCTTTAACTGATGTCTGGTCGTGACCAAAATCGTTGTTTGTAGATTGACTTCACGTATAAAGTCAGCTTTTTTGGTAGAGAAATTTTAAAATTTAACATGGTTGTTGATGATTACAGTGTGGATGTGATTAGACATTATAGGTGATCTCATCACAACAAAAGAACAAAGAATATTCTTTTTGATAACCTGCTCTTCATCAGGTTCTACAGTTATATATGCTTCCATAATAATTAAAGAATTAGGGTTGTTAAGAACATTAGTGTTGTTTAAATAACATCGAGTCAATCAATAATACGAATAGATTACAGTTCAATAGCATCTGTGTAAGCGTGATAATAGGCATCAGTATCTGTCTTTGTCCGTTTCCGACGTAGAACTTTGCACATATGTGCGGCAGTTCAAGTCGCCACACTCCCTCCTTGTAGCACACAAAGCAAGAGAAGAAAGTACAAGAAAAGCATAATAGAGACAGTAAACAGAGGTGTGAGACAAAGGAAGAGTAATAACGAAGAACAAAACAGTTTCATTTGAAATCATAAGTCACAAGGAGTGGATGCATCTGCGCCAGCCCTTGAGAACAATCACTTAGAGCCATATCACCAATTGTTTCCAACCATTGGTGTTTACCGTCACGAGGACCCCAACCAGTCAGGAAGTCTACACCTTCCTACGTGGCTTAGACTAACTGTTGTGGATTTCATTGACTGATGAAGCCATGTTTTTGTTTGACCTCCGCTAGCTCTTTTCCAGCCTGGCCCTGTATCAGCTACCACTGCCCGTCGAAGAAGGCGGTGACTGAGCATACGTAACACCTCTCCTAACCATCTCAGTCGATGCAGCTTCAAAGCCTCGTCGATCGGTTTCCCTTGCTTTCATAGAACAAGACGCATAACTTCGTTTACATGGTCTCCAAAGGGTGCACAAAGATGATGTCCCTCTGCGACCTGTATTGGATATGCTGAATTCACCGTATCACTCTACCGCTAAATGGCTTGCGGAAATTCTGGAACCAGTTAGATTGAATCTATGTAAACATAGTCTTTCCGACACTTTTGACTTCGTCAGTTGTGTTGATGAAATTAATGTGACTGGTAAGCATATGATTTCGTTAGATATTTGTTCATTGTTCACAAATGTACCACTAGTAGACACTATCTGCTATCTATGCGAGTATATTGAATCAAATAGCATGAACATTGGCTTACCAACTGATTATCTTAAACAACTACTATTGAGATGCACACTGAATGTGCAATTTAGATTTAATGATGTCATCTACAACCAAAGAGATGGAGTCGCCATGGGGTCTCCTTTAGGACCGCTCTTAGCGGACGTTTTCATGGCAAGCTTAGAGAATGGCCCACTAAAGGAAACCATCGATAGTCTGTTTATGTATAAAAGATATGTTGATGATACCTTCATTGTATGTGATGAAAACACTTCAACTGCCGAACTTCTTAGAATATTTAATGGTTCTCACCCATCTTTGCTTTTCACGATCGAAGAAGAGTCGGATTCTTCGTTTCACTTTCTTGATGTTAAGCTAGATAGAAGAGAGAATGGAACGCTTCTAAGGTCGATTTACCGAAAGCCAACATTCACTGGGCAGTACACTAACTTCAACAGTTGGGTACCTTTAGGGAGAAAGAGAAATCTTATTCACTCCTTATGCTCCAGAATTCGTAAAATCTGCTCTCCAGAGACAATCGATAGGGAACTAGATAACCTTCGATCAAATCTCCTTAATAATGGTTATCCCACAAGGTTCATTGAACGTAACATCAAGAAAGAATCCACCCCGAGACAAGTCACAGTACCAAAGAAAAAGCTGTTTATGAGTCTTGCATTCAAAGGTGACACCATTTCAGAATTGATTAAAAATCGTTTATCTAAATGTGTTAAACGCACTTTTCCTGCAGCTGACCTGCAACTAGTTTTTACCAGCCGAAATATGATCAGACAATGCGTCAAGGATAGATTACCGCTTTTGTCCACATCTATGTGCATTTACTCTTTTACTTGCTCTTGTGGAGCTGTTTATATTGGACGTTGTAAGCGTAATCTCCGAAAACGTGTAGCTGAACACTATCCGGTTTGGTTAATGAAAGGCGAACGTAGAACTGCAAAGTCGTCTATTTGTGATCACCTGTTAGAGTCTGGTCATTTAGCCCCACGTGATTCATCTTTCAAAGTTATATACATGGCAAAATCCAATCGATCCAAAAGTTTACGTTTTCTTCACTTATGCATAGCCGAAGCTTTAGCTATACATGAACAGAAACCTAAATTATGTGTTCAAAAGCGTTTTGTCAAACCCCTTTCTTTACCTTGGTCATAATAATTTTCTTTCTAGTTTTTATTTTATTTTACCACTTGAATTCTTTCCACTTCACTTCACATCTTCATTCTTATCGTAATCGTACTCCTAATTTTCATAATTTTTAGACAACACTTGACATTTTTGTTATAGAACAATCTTTCATATTTTGGTAATTTATCCACTTCAACTCTACGCCTTATAACTTTTATCACATATATACGTACATTGACTGAGCAATTATTTAGTGCCACTTAATAACCTTTTTCTGTAATATAAATACGACTGTACAGCTTGAAAATGAAGTCGTTGAAAAGAAATTTCTTCGTTGAACAAAAACTGTGTTTTTACTTATGAATAAATGGGTGTTTTTGGAGATTTAACAGCTGTAAATAAGCTAAAACCAAAAGTTAGTAAGAGCCAGTGGGTTTCTACCGCCTCATCCGAACTTATTGACGCAAGAAGACTGATTCCGGCGCGCTCCGATTATGATGAGGAGCAAAAGCTGCTCAAACGAAAACTAACAAGAAGTTTTCGCCACGACCGTGAACAGTGGTAGGCGACAAAAGCGGAAGAGATGGAAAAGGTTTCGGTGATTGGTACGACCAGACAAGTATTTAGGCTTATCAGGGAAACAGGTGGTAAAAGGCACATGATAAGTGAAACAGTCTCCGAGAAAAATGGCACCATAATTAGCTCCCAGGATAGACGACTGGAAAGAACACTATGAGGAGCATTTTAATTGGCCTACAGCGAGGCTCAACCTGCCGAGTATCCAACACCTCCTTGAATGGGATATAGACACAGGTCCTCCGTTACTCACTGAGGTCACTAAAGCTGTCACTAGGCTGAAACGAGGCAAAGCAGCGGGACCTGATGGAATGACTCCAGAGGTATTTAAGTACGGTGGAGATAGTTTACTCTCAGAGGAAGTCCCGTTGGGTTGGCGTAAGTCACTGATTATCCTCATTTACAAGAAGGAAGACAAGTCTTCCTGTGATGATCACAGAGGGATCAGCTTGACTAATATAGTATCTAAAGTCCTAGGCTCAATGATCATGCGTAGACTAAGTGGTGCTCGGCAGGCACAAACACGAGAGAACCAGGCAGACTTTAGACCAGGAAGAGGGTGTACTGATCATATCTCAAACCTTCGACAGATTCTGGAGTATAGGAATACTTACAGGAATCCAGCAGTAGTCATACCTCATGACATGACTGCGGCCCTCACTGTTTAAGTCAACTTGTTTAGCCGAAGTATTCCGATTAAGCATCCACGCCATTTGGTACACCATCATGTCACTTTCGTTTGTTCGCGCACGATCCCCAGCTTAACATATTTATTTTCGAATATTAAATAAAAATCGTCCATTCGCGGAGGAGAAAGGACGATT